TAATTACTTCTCTCTCTCTCTCTCTCTCTCTCTCTCTTTCTCTCTCTCTCTCTCAAATGACGCTAAAATTCTTTCAATTATAAAAAAAATTTTTTAAATAAGGCTAATTTTACGGAAGATGAAATATACCATGATAATCTTGAAAATGCTTGTAAGTACTAATTTTTTATATTCTTTTATGTTTTATAATTGATTTAGACTATGTCTAAATGTTGCATTATGCATATTTATTATAATATATAACTATAATATGTACATAATTATAATTGATATTATGTATTATACCATACAATATATAAAGAGCATGCTACGCACAACGTGACGTGAAACTTTATTGATACGATCGCCAATGCTCGTCATAATCAACTGAATAATTCCGTTCACCGTAATTAATAATGAGCGAATATTATATGAATGTCCGAAACGTGAATATATATACGTGAATATAATCTAGTCGTGAAGACCTAATGTTAAAAACGCCCTATTATCGAAAATATATTCTATCTTATATTTATATTGGGCAGTGATATATATTATTTTGTAAAAAATAACTCAATATAATTTGTCTTATTTTTAAATCAAAGCAGCTTCATTTTTTTCACATGTATAATTTAATATCATAGAGTTTTCAACATTTGTCGCGTGAATAAAAGATTTTTTTTTAAACGAAGAAAAACATAAAAAAGTACATAAGCACAAGTCGTGATTACAAGAAAAACGACAAGAGTGATTATTTGCCGTCAACGATCTGAAAGATAAGGCCATCGCTTTTTAAGTGATTTTTTTATGTGAACATTGCGTGATGAAAAAATTTTCACAAGTTACCGTTTAGTCGCGCGACGATGTCGTAAAACTCGATGTGCCATCTCCATTCCTTTCAATTTTCTTTCTTTGAACTACTAACACATGTGCTATAGTAAATTTTCAAGTGAAGTCACGCTATGAGGGTGTAGTAACGAGGATAGGTTCGATTTCGCACCTCTTAATGCGAAATAGCGTTTAAGGTTCGGCGGAAGCTGAACGATGGAAAGGATAAGACGAGTCGGGTCACGTATTTAATACCCCTTCCCACAAAGTTCTCTCTCGCGCTCGATTTTGCGATGTTATCCGCATTGATCGCCGTTTCCCTTCGGGCGACGAAGCAGGTAGTACACGTCACAGTACACGTTGCATCTTTAATTCTTTAGATCGATTCTTTGATCGATGTTTCCATCAAATACTCGCGCGTGATCATTTGATCATTCTTTAAGAATAGCATAATTTTCACTCGTTATTGAGATATTCTCCATTGGCATTTCGTATAAATGGTATTTCTGCATTAACGAATTTACATAACAAGTTTAACAAGTCTAGTAACAAAAATTATGCAATGCTTTATCTTAATATAAAGCTATTTATATTTATGCTATTTATATTGATATAATGTGATACGAAATTTTGAAAATTCTAGAAAATTCTAGACAAATATATAGAATAGATTTGAAAATGACAAATTAATGAATGTAAAATTACTTTTATTTGCGAATTATAATTATTTTAATTTAACTTTTGTCGTAAAAGGATTATTTTAATTGTGTACTATAGGAAATTATTTTTAAAAAATTGAAAAAATTTGGAAAAATTACAATATACGATTACAATATCATATTACGATATAATACTACAAATATAAATGATAAAATATATAAAAGATTGCAAATACACATCATTTAACATTTAATTTTAATTTCAAGGATAGATTTATATAATTTACATAATTATTAATTTGGATTGAAGATTTTTTTATTAACGAAAATTACGAAAAAAATATGTTATTTTGTTCTTTGACATTTACATAATATTAGATATGGTGAAATAGATTGTTATTTTTAGTTTTGTAAAGAAATTATTCGATGAGGGCTATAAAAGATATCTCGTTTTATCATGTACAATTGCGATAAATTGCACGAAACGGCTATACACGTGATTATGTCTTAATATCATCGTAATTATGCGGTATTTATAATACGGACTCGATGAGATGGCTGATGGAATTCACGATGATCACGCGTACGGATGGCAAGCACAAATGTTGTTTCAACATACGACCGCATGTAATTGGACCTGACTATAATAATAATAATAATAATAATAATAATAATAATAATAATAATACGATCTTACACGCTTAATGCGCAAATATCTATAATTATTATCCGATAATATGTATCATAGATACTGAAGAAAGAGTATAGTAAGGATATATTACCAAATAATGCCTACATTGATTATCTTAATACAAATTCGTGTTGAATTTATCGCGATTGTTTATTCAAAATACTTGTGCATTTGACATTACGAAATCGTAAATTGAACAATCTTTTATTTTTCTAAAAAAAGTAAAATGTTTCTTCTATAAGGGATTAATATTGATATATTATATTGATAAATATTAAGGAGACATGTTGAAATGTGTGAATAATCGCAACGAACGATCGCAGAAGAGACTCGCTGTTGAAAGAGGCGTTCCTATGGAGAGGCCATAATTCATGCCTAATAACATCACTGTTAATAGGAAATTTAAATAAAAACGCGTGTCGCGTTTCAAGTTTCCAGCATCTCTTTCGAGGAGCGCTCGTGGGATTTACGAGGCGCGCTTATTACCGCGCGAAATTCCGACCGAGTTGCTGCAACGTCAGCGCGCGACGAA